AAAAAGTATACTGAACTCTTCAGCTAATTAGGATTACACAAACTGCCTTCAAAACGTATACTGAACTCTTCAGCTAATAAAGGTTTACACAAACTGTCTTCAAAAAGGGAATTTAGATCTTCAAATACTTTTTTTTTTAAAAAGCGTGACATAAAATTTAATTCGCACACTAAACAGAAAAGAAGGTTAAAAAAGGGGGGGGGGGGGGGGGGGGGAGGGGGAATTAATGCACAATTATTTTTTTTAAACAGCGTCTCTAAAAAATGTGGTTCTAAGAGATCGTTTAATTTGTTTTTTAAAGATTGTTTAGTTGGTTGTAATTGATCGGTTAGTTTGTTCTTAAAGATCGGTGAGTTTGTTCATAAATATCGCTTAGTTTGTTGTTAAAGATCGTTTAGTTTGTTGTTAAAGATCGTTTAGTTTGTTGTTAAAAATCGTTTAGTTTGTTAAATATCGTTTAGTTTGTTGTTAAAGATCGCTTAGTTTATTGTTAAAGATCGTTTAGTTTGTTCTTAAAGATCTCTTAGTTTGTTGTTAAAGATCGCTTAGTTTGTTCTTAAAGATCGCCTAGTTTGTTGTTAAAGATTCTCCAGTTTTTGTTAATGATCGCTTTACTTTTTCTTAAAGATCGGTTAGTTTGTTCATAAAGATCGCCTGGTTTGTTTTTAAAGATCGTTTAGTTTGTTCTTAAAGATCGCTTAGTTTGTGGTTAAAAATCGTCCACTTTTTGTTAATGATGGCTTCATTTTTTTCTTAAAGATCGTTTAGCTTGTTCATAAAGATCGCTTAGTTTGTTGTTAAAGATCGCTTAGTTTGTTGTAAAGATCGCTTAGTTTTTTCATAAAGATCGCTTAGTTTGTTCTTAAAGATAATTGATTTTGTTCCTTAAGATCGATTAGTTTGTTCTTAAACATCTTTTAGTTTGTTCCTAAAGAATATTTAGTTTTCTGTTAAAGATAGCTTAGTTTATACATTATTTAGTTTACTATTAAAGATCATTTGTTTTGCTTTTAAAGACCATTTAGTTTGGTCTTTAAAATCGTTTAGTTTGTTCTTTAAGATCGTTTAGTTTTTTTATTAAAGATCGCTTAGATTGTTCTTAAAGATCGCTTAGTTTGTTTTAAAGATCGCTTAATTTGTTCTTAAACGTCGCTTACTTTGTTGTTAAATATCGCTTTCGCTGAGTATTAAATGACCGAAAACCTGAGTCACTTTCGGCCGAAACCAAAGAAAAACTGAAAGTTAACTTTTCTCTTTCGGCTGAAACCAAAATAAGCCGAAAGTTAACTTTTCAGTTTCGGCCGAAACCGAAACTTGGCCGAAAGTGATAAAATGGTAACTTTCGGCGCCGAAACTGAAGCCGAAGCCGAAATTCGGTCGGTCCCTATTGTAGTTATATGTTTGAGTCTGTATGCAGACCTATGCGAGGTCACTGCATTGAGTGCAATCATATTTAGTTTTAGGTTTCCAATCTTAACTTAAGGGTAAGAATATTTTGATGAAAACCTTTTTTACTAAGACTTATTTACTTCTTATATTGGCATATTGGGACAGAAAACTGCTATGACTGTGGCCTATGTATGGCCTTCTGGTGTTCATTTTGTTTTATAAATTCCGCAGAAGGGTTTTTCGTGAGCTATGCTTATCACATAAAAAGTATACATATTTATGTTTATGATCAAGCTTAGCGACTATGAAGCATAAATAATAATATTATATATAGGCCTATATATATATATATATATATATATATATANAGATAGAAAAAATATATAAATTTGCGAAAGATTCATTAATTTCAATTTTTTAATGTGAAATCAATTTACACATTTCTTTTATGTAGGTTTAATATTCAACGTACACATTAAAAAAAAAAAAATACACTAATAAGGACAAAATAATGAATAATGCAGAGTTACACAATTAATGATGACACTTTTATTTTCTTATCTTATTTCATCAATGTTAAAATTTGGTGTTTAGTGTAGTCCATATGTAACAAGAATAAGGAAACATCACAACAAAGAAAAGTATGCATGAATCATGAGCGAGATGGCAAGCTCGACAGCGTCACGAGACAAGAGAACAACAGCAATTAACACCAACGCCGTTCAAATTAATAAGTTGAAGTATCGCAAGCCCTTTGTTCAAATGTAGCATTACTAGTCTGATGTTATGTACCGTTTTTAAAGTTTAACAAATTTAATCTGTTGTTGTATGAAAATTACTCACTAACAAACAATACATAGTTACATTACATAGCAAAGGGACGATACAATTGATTAAATATAGGCCTAATTTAAAAAAAAAGAACTATACCCCAACTCGTGCTAATTACAAGTAACAATTTATTTATAATAGCAATCTTGATATAAAAAAATTCAAAATCAAATAAATTTAAATAAATTTAAAAAAAAAAAACAACTCTAGCAGCTTACAGCACGTGAATACAAATAAAGAAAAGAAAAGTAAAAATAGTAATCCATAAACAGAGAGACTGTTAAAATCTGGTATCTCTGGTATGTACCTTACGTCTGCCTGTCACAGTCCACTTTTTCGTGAATCAAAACTTTCCAGAATAGAAGGTCTAGAAATTCAATTGCCAGAGAGTATTTCCACCCTCTAGGTAGCCCTTCTGGAAACATTCCTCTAGGTAGCCCTTCTGGAAACATCCCTCTAGGTAGCCCTTCTGGAAACATTGCATTGACAAACGTTCCCAAATCAAGGGAAGTGGGGAAGGGGTGGTAG